CACCATCATTAGCGAAAAATGGAAATTATTTTTGTAAAAAGTAGCTGATTATCTTACGTTCCACTCGAAGGCCTGACAAGACAGACTTTTACCCACCAAGCAACATACTACTTTTGACATTTGTGTGGACCATCTCGTTCGCGGTCGCGCAGAAAACCGGATTGCAGGCGAAATTCCCTTTCAATGGCCTCTTAGCTAGACCCTTCGATGGCTGATATGGCGGCGATATTTTCGATCAAATCATCAAAGTTCTCAAGCAGCTCGTGGACAAAAACCCTCAGCCAATGTCTCTTTTCGCCCACCACTCTTTTAATGCCCTCCTCGAAAACTGCTTATATGACCGTGCTAAGACAGCAGGTATATGCAAATTTCACTCGAACTCCATGCTGCTTGTGCAATCAAACTAGCCTGTTATGTTTCTTTTGGCTAGTTCGCTCTAGTCACTGGGCGAAAAAGACAAGCTGTCACAAAATTCAGTGATACCGACCCGTTGGTCGGATGGGCAAAGAAGACGGTGAATTTGGCCGTTGATTGATGAGCCTCTTACACATGCAGCATACACCAGCTCACCTCGACCTGCAAATAGGCCAGTTTGAAGGCGATCGATGGTCTGGTCGACTCGCTGGGCTGGATCGATAAAATGCCCACTTGTTTTCAACTCAGCCAATCATTTGTGCATTCGGCTCAAAGAACGAGCACCAAAAGCTAGTCCAGCTGGCGTCTGACGAAGTAGTGCTTGCCTTTTGTTTGTGACTTGGGCGTGCCCCAGTAACCTGATTTGCAGAGTGAGACATCTAGGGTGGCACAGAATAAGTGATTTGGCCGACTGATACTGATTGACTAGCATCAGCTTCTCGCTTATTTGACAGTTCACAAGCCCTGGACAAATCGAGATCCGGGCCTTCATTTCGAATAGGAAATTTACCGCCACCCAATAAAGCAGGCAGTTTGGAGCCTTAGTGGACTTGCTGAGCTGAGTATATTTCTTGAAGGAAGTTTCGCTACCTTTAAACCGAAATGTTGGAAATGGACAAATTTTGGGCCAACTGGTAAGCCCAGATCATTTTTGTAAATTTATCTATCCATTTATAAAGCACTCAACTCAAGAGCTTGCATTCAGCAAAAAATACGCTTATCGTCTTTTATAATTAATTGATGAGAAATTATTTGCTATTTTTCATTCTGTGCTGTTTCAGAGGTGAGACATTTGTAGCAATTGCTCATCATGTATATTTGCTATAGCCCTAGGCTGTTCAATGTGATTTTAAGACTAAAAACAGAATTTTCCCATACTGCAATAAGGAGTCTTCAGGATGCTTTCCAAAGTGTATTCTCATCACGTAAGGCTGCAGTTTCAACTTCATATAGCTCTCGTCTGCATACAAATAGGTTTTGATACTGGACAGTGAGCATCGTGGCAACGCATGATAACTCTGCTGAAAACCAAAGGGTTTCAAGGCAAGTTAGACCCCTCGCAAATCACATTTTATTGGGATCATCTAGAAATTAAACATTTATTTGCCATGAAAGCTTAGCAGCTTACTTATTTACAAAATGAGTTAATTCTGTAACTTTACATGGTTATGAATAATTATGAGATGTATTCACTCAATTTCTTTTAAGGTGATGAAGGACTGGTAGAAGAATTTTCCCACAATGATATGAGTAAAGCTGACGTTTCTATTGAATTTCACATAGGCTTGCTTTCCCAAAATGTGTTCTCATCCAGAGCAGACAGCAGTTTCGACCTCGCCCAGGTCTTATCAAAAAGCCAGGCGGGCGTCGAACCGTGACAGTGCAGAATGGGAGTTTGGCACGTTAACCACTCGGCCACATTGCCACGAGTGCCCTTGGGTCATAGGTCAGATGTGGATTCCAAGGAAGGCAAAGCATTTTTCCACTCGTGGAAATGGGGCCGAGCGGTTGACGTGTCAAGCTCCCATTCTGCATTGTCACGGTTCGACTCCCGCTGGGGGTGATGATAAGATCGATGCGAAGTCGAAACTGCAGTCCACTCTGGATGAGAACAACCTTTGGGAAAGCAAAGCTATGTGAAATTCAATAAAAACGTCAGCCCTATTCATATCACTGTGGGAAAATTCTTCTACCAGTCCTTCATCACCTACAACGAAATTGGGAGGATACATCTCATATTACTGATTTACTGGTAGTCTCGAAACGATACTTAAAATGCAAAGCATGTATAATTACTTAGGAATTGCTGGTAGCTGCAAAGCAAATCTATATTAAGAATATCACAATCTAGTTTAAAAAATGTAAGAATAATATCGTTATCAGAAGACTCTACCTTCTGAAGCATCATAATCCACCCAAGTGACTGCCCTATAAGCAATCAGCAGGTGTATTTGAGTTTAAGCAAGCTTCATCTAACGTCAATTTCCTTAACGAAGTCTCCCAGATGTGTGTCTGTGTGCGTGTCTGTTGGTGTCTATATTTTCCTATTATTGGGCGATCCACTTCGAAGGGAAATTGGATCTCATTTTAAACCGAAGATGCATTGATTTAGGAGTTGTTGATATAATTTTTTACGAATATCCCACTGACACAGCATCCTGACTTCATACTGAACTTTCGTCGGAACCGGCAAGACATACATAGTGAGAGCATGAAATCGTGCCCTACAGAAATTCCTTAAGCGCAAAGCCAAGCATTAAGGCCGATCGCATATTTTTAATAGATTATTGTGAGACCTTATTAGGCATATAATGAGTTGTCTGGCTGCTTCATGCCTCTTTCTAGATGCTTGAAGGTGTGTAACGGAGATGTGTACAGTTGCTATGTTTATACAAAACTTATGTGCCAGTGTGTGTGGTTGCACGAGCATTGTATGCGCGCAATTATTGTATGCTGAATGAGAGTTTTATTGCCCTAACCAGGCTCTAGGCAAAATATACCTCATCCCTTTTATTGAGTGGTTCATCTTGTTGCATTTCCCTTATTCTATCTAACAGCCAGAGATAATACTTGCTTGTTTCAAGAAATTAGTTTCACTTTCTGTCGAGATCTACCACTTATGTACAGACATAAGATTAACATAAATTGCTTGGATTCTCAGGACTGTTACATGCAACCCGGCAGTTACAACTTCGGTTTCCTGTACGACCAATTTATGAATCATTTCTATTTAACAATTCATATAATATGAAGGGCTCAATGAGCTGACAACTTTTATGAAGTCTTTAAAGCACAGCTTTTCCATATGTATTCCGTAAGTACCTGAGATACTTATGACTTGACCGCTATAGTTCGAATAACCTGTTCGAATGGCCTGTTCGAATAGCGTCAACGAAAAATCGATTTTGTTGTGTCTATTTGGCCAGTCAAAAACGAACAGCTGCTTTATCGACCTTATAATTGGCTTGACCATAGGAGCTTTTTCAATGGCCTATCTCTTTAAAAAATTCATTTGGCATCGAGAGCATTCTGGGATAACATTTCTGAAGGAAATTTGTAAATTTTGAATAAGGGTTGTGCCCACCCTGAATTGCATAAATTGATAAAAGATTGATTACTGGCATTTCCTATAGTGATAAGAGTAAGCATCACATTAACATTAAAGTTAACATGACCTTTCGGAAAGCAAAGCTATACAAACTTTTTTGTAAACGTAAGGCCTACTCACATCATTGTGGCAAATTTCAACTATCAACCCTTCACCACCGTATGTGACTCATGGTGAATACAGGTCTTATTTACTGGTCGTTTCGAAACCTACTTTATAGGAATTCATAAATTTGTCACACTCGAAACTGAAGTAGGATTTGTAGATACGAAAAGTAATAATATAGTAAGATTGTTTAAATATTGTGACTGTTGATTTTGCAAAGAAGTCCGACCTGCGACCTTGATCTATTCGTGTGCCTCTTTCTTCTGCGCAGCCGAAGCATTAAAGTATTCGTTATGAAATGTTTTCAAAAACTAAGTTAAAGATGTTGACCACCGTCACTTCTAATTACATGCTTTATCAATATGGCTTTCAACAAATTTATTGAATATTCCTTGTATTCGGGTGTTCTTACTATTCTATTTACCTTACTTAATTCCCTATACTCGGTAATCCAATTCAAGATGTTGGCAGTTGGACCATTTTATATTAACTCTCGAATCCAACTATTTTATCTAAAGTCTCCGAATACTGAATAACTCACATCTAAATTGACACATGTGCAAGTGAAGCGCAGGACACAAATTAACACACTACATGTAAATAAATAGACGTTTCATACATAGTCGCGTTATATTCACTCATCCTCAAACATATGTGGAGAAATAAGAAGTTGCGAACTAAATCCTGGAATTACTCATTAGGATAAATTACGATTATATGACGTAGTTAGTTAGCCAATTAGCAGCTGGCCCCCATGCTTGGCTGAGTATTTAGTCAATTTTATTAACAAAGTGTTTCATGACCTTATATTTTCCGTCCTATGACATAAAAGCTCAGCTCAGATCGGTGAACCGTAAATTTATTCTAACAATTCTTCGGTTTCTGAGGCAGATTTACAAATATATGAGCTGTATTCACCATATTTCGTTTGAGGTGTTGAAGGACTGGTAGTAGAATTTTTCCACAATGATATGAGTAGAGCTGACGTCTTTATTGAATTTCACAGAGCCTTGCTTTCCTAAAAGTTGATCTCCTCCAGGGTGGACTGTAGTTTCGACCTCCCATATGTCTTATCAACACCCCCAGCGGGAGTCAAACAGTGACAGTGCGGCATATGAGCTTGACACGTTAACCACTTTGCCGCATTGCCATGAGTGAGAAAAGGCTTGGCCTTCCTTGAAATCCACATCGGACAAAGGACCCAAGAGCACTCATGACAATGTGGCCGAGTGGTTAACGTGTCAAGCTCACATGCTGTACTGACACGGTTCGACTCCCTCTGGGAGTTTTGAAAAGACCTATGCGAGGTCGAAACTGCAGTCCACCCAAGGTGAGATCGACTTTTGGGATAGCAAATCTCTGTGAAATTCAATGGAAGAGTTAGCTCTACTCATATCATTGTGGGAAAATTCTACTACCAATCCTTCATCACATTAAACGAAATAGGGTGAATACATTTCATAGAAATGATTTACTAGTAGTCTCGAAACTCTACTTATATATAAAAGATTAAGAAATCCTTTCAACCCTACCGTCCTATAAAATGAACAGTTTAGTGACCAACCTTGAGACTACAATACGCTTCAGAGAACTCAGTAGGTTGGATTGGTGTCCTACTTCTACTGGCTAACTGAAGATTCAGCTGACTGTTCATCATTCG